CGGATCCAAGTTGGTTGCACTTAGGTCTTAGAGATTGAAGATGAGACTCTCTCTAATCTCTAAGTTTACGGGCCACGATTAGATGATGATGATTGGATGGGTGTCTTGACGAAAGCATTATCAAACAATGACGTAGTTTTTTAAACCAAGATTAGCCCCCAAGGCATGTCTGGACAACAAATATACAAAACAAATAATAATAAGAACAGTAGCTCGTATGCAACCGGACTCCTGATGAAAGAGCATGTTATGCCACTAGGTGGACAACTTTGTGAAAACTCCACTGAGTTTTGAAGACACAAAACTAACACGAGGGACCGGAAGAGAGAATGAACTTCTTGTAAATGGCTCCGGCTCTAGGGAGGGAAGACTTCCTCGATGTAGGATCCATGGTGACTAGTTGAGAATCCCCACAATATGTAACAATCAATACATTATGTGTAAGATACCATCTCATAGCAGAACTAAGTACAAGTATTTTTTTTATATGTAAGCATCGGTAATACCATATTATAATTTATCAAAAGCAAATGAAAGAGTTCAATCCCCTCAGAAGTCGATAGAGCCTGTAGCACATCCTAGAAATTTCTTTGGAATGGTTAAATAAAACATTGAGGAGATAAACTCGATGCTTGCTTTCCGACGCAAGTTGAGGATGCGCTCAACCAAAATTTTATTAGTGTAATCAAATTTAAATGAATTTTTATATGTAAGCATCGGTAATACCATATTATAATTTACCAAAAGCAAATGAAAGAGTTCAATCCCCTCAGAAGTCGATAGAGCCTGTAGCACATCCTAGAAATTTCTTTGGAATGGTTAAATAAAACATTAAGGAGATAAACTCGATGCTTGCTTTCCGACACAAGTTGAGGATGCGCTCAACCAAAATTTTATTAGTGTAATCAAATTTAAATGAATTAATTGTGTAGGTGGGATTGTGCGAACTCGAACTCAGGTCTCCCTACCTAGTTGATAGGAGCTCTTATTACACGATCATTGGGTTCGAGCTTAGTCGAGGTAATTTCGTGGGGTGATAAATGAATCCAATTCTTTCTCTTCTATAGCGGTCCTTAGTTTAGGTAATTTCGTGGAGCTTAGTCTAGGAAACCAACACTTTCTCTTCTCTAGTGGTCCTTTGTTTAGGTAGCTTAGTTGTTGTTTCTACCTTTGTTAGTGTAGTTCAGTAACATTCACATATTTGATTGGCTAAATAATAGTTCGAATTTGAGTATTGACAGATCTAAACACCCTTGTGGAATGCGACCTTATGCCTCTATACTATGTTATCTATCATTGTATAAAATTATCTATCACTATGGTAGATGCCTAGATGGTAATATAATTGATTGCAAAACCTTTTCTATAAATGTATTGAGAAATGATATAATTTTGTATATCTCAATGAACACGTTCCTTTTTATGTAAAAATTTCATAATCCAAATTGAAATGAAGAAGACACTGTAACACCTTAGACGAATCCAATATCGACAAAGCATGAGAGAGATCTATAGTTCATGTGTAAGAGACCGACATTAACTGACAAGCCGCATGTTGGGATGAAATGAAGGAGTTCTTGAGAACTCTGAAATTAACAGTGCTCGCAGTGGAGCACTGCAAGGATGTGAGACCTTATGGGAAGTCACTTTGATATGCATCTCAAGGCAAAATCTGTGAGAGTCTAGGCCCAAAGCGGACAAAATATTGTCAGGAAAAAGTTCGAGATGTTATAGATGCGAATCAATTAAAAAAAAGGAGCATAGAAAAATAATCTTAACCATAAAATTTAAGCTTATGTACCCTCACACAAACAAATTTATCATGGACAATGAGATTAAATACAATTGGGATAAGAGATCTAGAGGTGGCTATAAAGTCTAGTCCGGTTAAACTAGCCTGACATTGACCCGGTCCTAGTCTTGTCTTTTTGGAAATATGGGGACGAAAGAAGAAATTGGGTTCAATTCAATTTTGACCCGGTTGGTCCCAATCCAGTTTTGACCTAGACAGTACAATCACTCAGCTGTTGCTTCCCTCCATCTAGTTGATTCCAGCGTAGTGATGGCAATGGGGCGGGTCGGGGTGGGTACTTCAATACCAATGCCTCTCACCACGTTATTGCGGTTCGTGCAGGTATACCCGCCCGAGTAGGGGCGGGGCGGGTCAACCTACTCTTACATGTTATTTGAAAAAAATACACCCAAAATTTTCTTTTCACGATAAAATGAAGGAGAAAATAATTTAGGGTTAATTGCATGGTTAGTCACTGCGATTACAAAAAACGTTCATGTTTGGTCACTGAAAATATTTAAATCCAGTCTTGGTCACTCAAATTAGTTACATGATTCAAGTTTGGTCACTCTCCGTCTATTTCCGTTAACTCCAGCTTACGTGGCAGTCAACTTTCATAGTTGACCGTTAAATACGTGACGTGGCAATTAAAAAATTATTAAAAATAAAAAAATAAACTTTTATATTTTCCACCTAATTATTACCTTCATTACAAAATAAAAAAATAAAAAACCTAAAATTGCTCCAAGGAGAAGAAGATGATGAATCGGCTTCGGGAGTTGGAGAAGAGGACGACGACGACGAAGACGAGGAAGGATCCGGCGGGGACGCTGTTTCCGTTATCACCAACAGCGAGTGGTCGGAGAAGGAGGACTTGGTGGTCTTTTGAATAATAAGTTCGAGTAGGTGGGCGGCGAAGCTTCCGAATGAGTAACCGGCGGCGAAAAATGCGCCGGTCAAGCTTGCCATGCTCGCTGGGAGCTCCGAGTAATAAAACTCGATTTGAGCCACACCATTAAAGGCCTCGGCTAGGCCCACGAGCACCAGCTGCGGTGCCAGCCAAAACACCGACACCAGCTGTGCACTCCTCCGCCGCTGGCCTTCCACAATCCCCGCCACCGCCGCGGCAAGGGTGGATAGGTACATCCCAACCCCGATTCTTTGTAGGGTCGATAGATCAAGAATAAACCTCTTCTTGTTGTTATTGGTGGTCTGATCAGCATCTTGGGCTTGATCGCTGCTGTTTCTCCTCTTCCTGACCAGCGGGATGATGACCTTATATTGTTTGGTCAATTCTTAGGCCTTCTTCTTCATCATCTTCGTATTCCCTGTTCTACTTCTTCTACCTCCTCCTCCAGAGTGGATTAGAGAATCGCGAGATTCGCCACCATGAACCCGAGCTTGAAACACAGGGAGAGCTCGTACAGCAGCTGAGTTGACGCGGCGTGCTCTTTGCCGTACAGCTCCGCCACAGGCGGCGGATTCTCCGCCGGATTCACTCTCGATTTGAGCGCCGAGTATAAATAATCCATCAGCCTCTGCTCCGAATTCCCCTTTCCTCCGATAGAAACCACACGAGACATGATCTCCGCCGCGGAGTCGGTCTTCCCTTCGTAAATCGCCGCCGCGGCCTCCATTAAAACCGGCCTCGTGCAAATCGAGGCGGAGGTCGCCGTGGAAGAAGTAGTGGAAGACGACGAGGACGGGCTGGGCGAAGGGAAATCTGATTATTGTTGTCGTTGTTGGCGGTGGTGGGGCTGGAGGAAGAGGAAGGAGAGATGAGATTCTGAATCGTCTCCAACCACTCGCTGTTGGTGATAACGGAAACGCGTCCCCGCCGGATCCTTCCTCGTCGTCGTCGTCCAGAAGCTGCTTCTCCAACTCCTAAAGCCGATTCATCATCTTCTTCTCCGACCACTCGCTGTTGGTGATAACGGAAACAGCGTCCCCGCCGGATCCTTCCTCGTCTTCGTCGTCGTCGTCCTCCAGAAGCTGCTTCTCCAACTCCCAAAGCCGATTCATCATCTTCTTCTCCTTGGAGCAATTTTAGGTTTTTTATTTTTTTATTTTGTAATGAAGGTAATAATGAGGTGGAAAATATAAAAGTTTATTTTTTTATTTTTCATAATTTTTTAATTGCCACGTCATGTATTTAACGGTCAACTATGAAAGTTGACTGCCACGTAAGCTGGAGTTAACGGAAATAGACGGAGAGTGACCAAACTTGAATCATGTAACTAATTTGAGTGACCAAGACTGGATTTAAATATTTTCAGTTGAAAGATCAAGTCTAACTAGTTGAAAAGGTCAAAATAGGAGACACATAAATAAATAAGGTAAGAATTTGTGATAAAATGGTCCAAGAACGGGGCAGGGCAGGCGGGTTAGAAGTAGATACCCTTGCCCGGCCTCATCGCGGGTCAGGTCGGTTAATACGCGTGGGACATGTTCAAATTTCCATCACAATCCAGCGGCTGCTATCTGTTGGTCGCCGTTTGGCTGCTGCTCATCTTAGTTACCGGCTGGGCGAGAGGTGTGGACCGACAGCGACGGTGATGTACGAGCTGGGACCGACAAGCGACAACGATGCGAGAGGTATGGATCGACACTGACAACGAGGCGAGAGGTGTGGACCGACGGGTTTCTCTTCGATCTCACACCGCACGACTGCAAGGGAGGTCTTGGAGTCATGGAGCGGATTACGGGATCGACGGAAGGAAGTCTTCTCTCCGATCTCGCGAAGCTGGTCGACGGTGACGAGCTAGGACAGAAGAAATCTGAGTCTTCTCTCCTCGCAGATCTCGCCTTGCGCAACTGTGAAAGTGAAGAGTTGGAGCGGATTGACGAACTCTGTGGTGAGATGTGTTAGGGTAAATGGGAATCTACAGCTGGTCAGGGAGGACGGGGCTGGGTTCATTGCTTAGTTAGTGAACCTGTTTTATTAGTTATCCGATATTCCGATTTCGATCCAGTTTTAACACGGCCCAGACTGGTCTGTATTTTTTTCTATTTCTGGGACCAAATACAGGATTTGATTGTTATACATCCAGTCCGATCTTAAACTGTCCGAATTATATGGCCCGGCTTACGGTTAAACCAAAAACCCGAACCAAATATCCGTCCTAAATAGATCTCCTTCCTCTTCTACGCGAATTAGTCCCTTTCTGCTGAGATTTTGCGTGTGGTTCATACGAAATCAATGGCATGGAGTAAATAGACATTAACTAACAACTGAAATCTCGATCCATCATCCCAGGTGGACGCCCAACCGCTCCTCCTTTTAAACCTCAACCCTCATCAATTCTCAGCAGCAGGCCCCAACCCAACACGTTTCCAACAAAGAAAAAAACTGTATTTGGGGTGGCAAGGGTTTTAGTTCTCAAGATCTTACGTGTTCGTCTTCTCGCTCTGGTCATCCAGCTTGGGAAATAAAGCCCCACTCCGCTCTCTGCTCTTTCAGTTTCCGGTTGTCACCATCCATCAATTCTCTCTCTCTCTCTGTCTCTCTCTTTATTTCGTACGTGGCCGACCTTAATCTCCACCGTCAGCAATTTTCATTTAATTACTCCCATCATCATCTCATTATCGTTCTTCCCTCCCATTCCTATCGCTATTTGACTTATTTCTTTCCATTCCGCTTCCCCAACTACTCTGGAGGTTGCTTTAGTTTGTTGGTTGGAGAGAAAGATGGGGAATTGCCAAGCGGCGGAGGCGGCAACGGTGGTGATTCAGCATCCGGCGGAGAACAGGGTGGACCGATTTTACTGGTCGGTGAGCGCCCACGAGGTTATGAATTCCAATCCTGGCCATTACGTGGCGCTGGTGGCGCCGAGTGCCAAGACCGAGAACGCCACGACTCCGGTGAAGCAGCTCAAGCTTCTCAAGCCCAGCGACACCCTTCTCCTCGGCCAGGTTTATCGACTCATCAGTTTCGAAGGTGCCCTGAAAAGTTCTGTTCTTTACTTCTTAGTTGCTCTGTTTTTCGCTACGTGCTCTGTTTCATCTCAACTTTTCCGTTTCCCGCTCAGATGTTCTGAAGGAGTTGTATGGGAAGAAGAGCGTGAAACTGGGGACGCTTCTGAAAGAGAGAGGCGGAGGGCCGGAAAAAGTATTGAGGGGGCTTGGAGATGCATCGGAGATTGGGAGGAGGAAAAGCTCCGGTGGGTTGAAACTGAATGTGGACGGTAGCTCTGCTAACACGGTAAGTGATCACTCTGTTTCCAAAACCTTCACTTGAAACGGTTATTTTGTTTACCCAATTGGGCATGAGAGTGAATACAGAAATCTAAAACTATATCAGAAAGAAAATAGGGAAAGGAAGGAGGTAGAAGTTAAAATGAGATGGTGGAGGTGGGGCTGTAAGTCAGTCGCCTGTAACTCTGCTACATAAGAACAGAGCTGCGATTCGAGTAATGCAAACGGCAGTAGTCCATTCTCTAAACGAGAAAAAAACAGGGGAAAGGGAGGGGATAGCATTGCTTTTGCCTTTTTCTTCCTATTGTTGTCACCTCATCAGTTGGTAAGGGGATTTGGCCTTTTTCCATTAATCATGATGATGAGAGACTAGTGAAAACAAGAAAAAAGATTAACGGAGGAAACGTCGTTCTGAGGGAAAAGTGATGAGCTTTTTTCAAACAATATTAGAAAAGAAAAAGGGGGGAGAGCGACCTCTCCACGGCAAGTGTTTGCTAGCAATATCCCCCACATTAATGGTCCGTCCATGGCGCATGAAAAAGTTGGTTGTTAAACCTCAATTAATTGTTACTAAGCTTTTTGTGTGTAGGAGGAGGTGCACCAACTGCAACTGCAACTGGGGAGGAGCAGCAGCAGCAGCAGACTTGTGAGTGGAAGGCAGCATGGAGGGCAAGGGCAATGGAGGCCAGCATTGCAAAGCATTTCTGAGATTGGGACTTAGGCAGATCTGAAGGACTTGCCCGGCTCGAATTGAATAAAATCACGGCAGTTGTTAGAAGCATGCATCAGTGGCCATTAATTAGTACAGTGGTTCCCCCTTTTTTCCCCAGAGACAGCAGAAAATTATTGTGAGTATGAAAGTTAATTTGGTTGCATGGAGCTTTGGTGTTCTGGTGCTCTTCTCTGCCATAAACCTTGCTCATGTCACTGGACTTTGTGTGTGAATGACTTGCTTCAAGTTAACTGTCTCAAGTCAGAGTTGGAAGGGAAGGCTAGATGTTCAAGTAAACCGTTTATTCCATCAGGTTTTTGTGTCAGTGAAAAGGTTAATAGTACCATTACTAATTTACTTACACAGTTGCACAGCTTGTGGTTGCCGGGGAGCTAAGTTTCGACGGTCCACAGATGTGATTTACTATCCGTCGCTCTAAAATTTCAAACTTTTCTGTCCTAAATTGAAAAAAAGGCAAAATACATCTATATAATCAAAATTTTGATGTTTGTGACAATAGTAGCCACTTTTTGAGAAATACACAAAATAACTAGAATTTTGAAAGTTCCATGACAAATATAGTCATTTTCGTTACAAAATTTAACTGTGTTAGAAATTCCGTGAGTTAGATTAACGTTAGATTGACTAAGATGTCAAATCATCACACACATCAGCGACAACTCAGCCGTTGATGCCATGTAGATGCCACGTGTCATTTTATATTTTTCTTTAATCACAAAATTGAACTAAGAAAAAATAAACCTAATGATCCTTTTTCATCTACTTCCTCTGGGCAGAAGAAGAATCGATTTTATGGGCGAACTTGACCCACCGCCTCTCCTCCGACCTCGACATCCCTCGAGTAGCATCTCCTTACACGTGAAGCCTGAATTAGGTTGGAGATTTGATGAATGCAAAGGCTTGCTAGTGGGAGTTGATGGAGAGAAGAAGTCGGAGTATCTATTGGCACTCGATTCTCCTTTGCTGGTGGTGAGGATGAGGAAGTGGTATGCAGAGAGGGCCAGACCGGAGCTGGCGGCGCCATCATTAACCACACAAGGGCAGGGAGAAGATGGCGGGACATCAATCTACAACTACACCCGCAACCACAGCTCAACTGTCGGTCGATAGTGATGGTGACGACGTCAGGGATTTGGGGATTATGGGTTTGGTGGTGGGGATTTGGGAATTAGGGATTCGGTCTCCGCTGTATGCCTTCTCCATTCCGCCCAAAGAAGACGATCCCTTCGTAGAGTTTCTGGTTCGACTCTAGCACCCCTGATCCGCCTTCCATTGCCAGAAAGCATCCTAAAAATTCTGACTCACCTCCTCCCATTGATAGAAAGCCTCGACGAATCCCTGCATCTTGCATCCTTGCCGCAAAGTATTGTCATCAATGCATGCATAATAATATACATGTATATAAGAAAATTGGTGTATTGTAGTTTACATCATTTGGTTTCTGTGATAGTTATTGTAGTATTTACATAAATTATATCACTTTTTGGATGAAATGTCACTTTTACCCTTTGGTTTTAATATAAAAAAGCAACAACATAAGAAGGTAGGGACATATTTGGAAGAAGAAGAAAACACAACAATCTCCATCAAACAATCTCAATAATCTCAACAAAAACTTGAGATTTAAGTATCACTCATTTTGAGTGATAGTTTGTGTCAAATCAAACAAACAATGCATGTATTGTTTGGCAGAAAATTCAAAAAAAAAAAAAATGCGTTGTGGACATTGCATGCATTGTAACTATCCCAACCAAACATCACCAAAACCAAACGACCCCTAATAAGTTATATTTATTTTCTTAAATTTATAGGATCGACTTGTGAAGATGGGGGATGTTGCGGTGGAAGTACAAAACCGCCTTAATCGCTGGTAATCTCACCCTTAGTCAAATTTTTCGGTGATTGGATGCCCAATTTAGACTTATTTTAAAGTATTTGACAAACAGGGGTAGTCGCCGGCACTGTCGCAGCCTTGGCGTCTATCACCTTCACTATCATACTCAAGAAGCGTCAGAGGCAAACTGAAACAAGCTTGAGAAGCTACAAATCCTGAACGTCGGCAGGAGTAGAACGAAAAAGATCTTCAGCGAAAGGTAGATGAAGAAACCCATTTGTTATTCCTTTTTGTTATAAATAATTATCGCCGAAATGGCAGTACAACACCAATTAAACACAAGGTTGAAGAGAAGGTATATCACCACTTTTATTATATACCCTCAAATACATATAGTACATTAATACAATAAATGGAATAGATACAGAGAAGGGAGAAAGAGCTTGGTGTATAATCTCCTTCTACGAATGTGTCTTTATAATTTATATAGGCACTAGTCCATGCACAGATCACCTCTCCATTGATTACTGGTGGTTAGGGAAGTGGGTGTTGGAGGAAGAACATCCACAAATATATATTTATAATACTCCCCCTTGGATGTCCAATGATTAAGAACATGTCTTGTTAAAACCTTACTAGGAAAAACCCATTGGGATAAAAACCTAGTTGAGGAAAAAGAGTACATGATTCTGGTGTTAAGCTTTTGGATATTGCCTCATTAAAAACATTACCAGGAAAACCTAGTGGGAAAAACCTAGGTTAAGGGAAAAAGAGTGCAATGCGTAAAGTCTCCCCCTCATTGAGAGATCTATCAACAGTTTGGAGTCTTCGAACTCCAATAAATTTTCACTTGTTGTTGTGGAATGTAGTACTGTTATAGGCAAATCTGCTGGATAGTCTTTAATAAACTTTTTTGGTTCCACAACTCTCATGAAGTTCATTATTGAAAAACAAACTTCGCTAAAAATATTCATATATGTACTTTTTCAGAAGATACGTGTAGTATCTCTTTCATATATGATCGTCTGGATCAATCTTTGAGAAATCTGTCAAATAATGGATAACTTTATCAAATAGATCATTATTCTCATAGTGATCTTAATCATCAATATATCTTACTCATTCTTATCATTTGTGCATTTTTTATATATTTCTTGATGCACATGACTTTCCCTTGCAAATATTTGATTTGCAATCCAGGGGATAGTCTTGTTCTTTCAAGTTATTGATTTCAATTACTTTTGAATACTCTTCTAGAGTTTCAAGTCATTCAATAACTTCTTATGTTTGAATACTGTTTTAGAGTTTCAAACCTATTTATACCTTCAATCTCAACTTGTGATCATTGTTCATAAATGTGCCGACACCCCAAAGGTGGCAAAGAATTTGTCAACACATTGTTATAAGAAGTTTGGTACCTTCAACCAATGACTCTTTGTTAGAACACATGAAACCGTCATTGGAAGGCATTCTAGGTAAATACATCCTCCTGTCTCGAATGTATTATTCCCTTCTTGTAGGAAATTCATCGAGACTGTCATTTTGTCGATGCTCTTTCGATTTGATTTCGGAGGTTTAATGAGTTGAATAATGTTCGCCAGAATCTTAATATGTTTGCTTCGAGCAAACTAACTCCTTCAGAGAGTTTCATATCGATATCATTTGTCAAACACATGCATAATAAGTGCATTGTAACCAAATTCATCATACGCGTAACTTTATAAACTGCCAAAAGTTATATCCAGCATATGAAAGTCTACTCACAGTCAATGCCAATTATTTTGCGAAGACTTTATGACAAGTGTGAGGATCATAATTCATTTCAACCAATTTTAGAATCGGCTGCTTATGTTTCTCTCCCTGATATTGGAAAGATCGAAAAAATGATTTCAACAAATTTCGTACAGTTAGTTTACTACTCTCATCAAAATAATGGAGACTTTTTTCTCAACATTAGTTTCCAATAGCCTTTGAAGAACCCATATTTGTAAATTGTGGTGGAACAATTCACAACATATAATCCATCATAAATTCTTTGATGGAAATTTTAAGGTTCCTGATCAAAACCAATTTGTACAGGGGTTTAGCGACAACTTGTTGGCATGATGCAAAAAGTGATACTCCTACATGCAACTGGCAGGTCCTTAATAAGTTGTTTCACATGCTTATGCACAAGCATGTGCTACATGACGTTTGATATTGAAACCAATAATATGAGATCTAAACCCACCAATAATCATCAAGAAGTATTTTCTTCATATTGAACATTTGTTCATATATGCCCATAAGTGAAATAATTGTGCAACTAATCTTGCAAACTTGAGGTTGCAGGTGGAGTGACCATTTAGACGATGCATCGATTAAAACGATAAAATAACTAAATGATCCATATGGTGGAATGTTCTAATAATTTCATATTGTATATACTAATAACTTCTTACTATCATAGGTGATCTCATAATCAACTTTTCTTGAGAATATACAGCACAAGAAAAATCCTTCATTGTGGAATTTTCGATAATATTCTCATCAAAGATTTTCACGAAACCTTGATTTTAATTTGCAAACTGATTCAGCATGACCCAACCGGTCATGGCAAGCAATTAATTTACAACAAACATAAACTTCATGTTTATGGTTTGTTTCATTACCTTTTGCTTCAGGAGGGAAGATTAACTCAGAGTAGTAATTCAGCATAATAACATGTATTATGCAATACGTTAAGAATAAGGATACCAAAAGGGGACGCGGTCGAAGTGGTATGGCTCTTTGACATCAACTAGAACGTTGTAGGTTCGAGCCCCATTAACGTTATATTTCGAACCCTAAAGATTCTTTGCTCATATGTAGCGACAAATAGAATAACTACCCCTAAAACTACCACTCGCATGATTTTTTAATGAAAAAATTCAATTGGAGGCCGTTGATATCAAATATAGCGGCAGATGAGATAATTGTCGGCATTTATTAATATTTAACGTCAGATATATAAAGTGTCGCTACTATCTGTCGCAATATTGTATTTTTCTTGTAGTGACAATATGTGGTAGATATGCTTCTGCCATTTTTAGGTGGGTTATGTTTACGACATATTACCCTACCAATAGAAAACTGTTGGATACAACATATAAAATAATATCTCAGTATTATCGCCTAATAATTTTGATATGCTTCTGGCATTTTGTGGATAATTTCGACCGACATATTACCCTATCAATAGAAAACTGTTGGATACAACATATAACACAATATCTCAGTATTGTCGCCTGATAATTTTGATATGCTTCTGGCATTTTGTGAGTAATGTCGACCGACATATTACCCGACCTCTTTTGTTTCTTTCCAAAATTTCAAACCAAAATATTCTCAATATTATCCAAAATCTATCACATCAACATCCTTATCTTATCCCCTTTTTCGGCTATAAAGCAACAATCTTCCTCCTTTTCTAATTCTACGCAAACTGAAAAATTCATACATCATCTCTCAATTCCATCATTCTTCTTCCCTTCTGGCATTTTGTGGATAATGTCGACCGACATATTACCCTACTAATAGAAAACTGTTGGATACAACATATAACACAATATCCCAGTATTGACGCCTGATAATTTTGATATGCTTCTGGCATTTTGTGAGTAATGTCGACCGACATATTACCCTACCTCTTTTGTTTCTTTCCAAAATTTCAAACCAAAATCTTGTCAATATTATCCAAAATCTATGACATCAACATCCTTATTTTATCCCTAACAATCTTCCTCTTTTTCATTTAATTCTACTAAAACTGAAAAATTCATACATCATCTCTCAATTCCATCATTCTTCTTCCCTTCTTTGGAACACTTCTCGTCATAAGCCGCTTGAGGGATCATATTGAGTTCGAATGAAGAAATGGATGAAGAAATGTCTCCCAAAGAGATCATGGATGGCCCAACCGGTCATGCCAAGCAATCAATTTACAACAAACATATACTTCAGGTTTATGGTTTGTTTCGTTACCTTTTGCTTCAAGAGGAAATATTAACTCAGCGTAATAATTAAGCATAATAACATGTATTTTGCAATATGTTAAGAATAAGGATATCAAAAGGGGCCCCGGTCGAAGAGGTATGCCTCTTTGACTTCAACTGGAACGTTGTAGGTTCGAACCCCATTAATGCCAGATTTCGAACCCTAAAGATTCTTTTAATAAACCATATCACAATATGTGGTAGATATACTTCTGCTCTTTTATGTGGTGTATGTTTACGACATATTACCCTACCAATAGAAAACTTTTGGATACAACATATAACACAATATCTCAGTATTATCGCCTAATAATTTTGATATGCTTCTGGCATTTTGTGGATAATGTCGACCGACATATTACCCTACCAATAGAAAACTGTTGGATACAACATATAACACAATATCTCAGTATTGTCGCCTGATAATTTTGATATGCTTCTGGCATTTTGTGAGTAATGTCGACCAACATATTACCCTACCTCTTTTGTTTCTTTCCAAAATTTCAAACCAAAATCTTCTCAATATTATCCAAAATCTATCGCATCAACATCCTTATCTTATCCCCTTTTTCGTCTATAAAACAACAATATTCCTCCTTTTCATTTCATTCTACTCAAAATGAAAAATTCATACATCATCTCTCAATTCCATCATTCTTCTTCCCGTCTTTGGAACTCTTCTCGTCATAATTCGCTTCAGGGATCTTATTGAGTTCGAGTGAAGAAATGGGTGAAGAAATGTCTCCCAAAGAGATCATGGATGGCCCAACCGGTCATGCCAAGCAATCAATTTACATCAAACATATACTTCATGTTTATGGTTTGTTTCGTTACCTTTTGCTTTAGGAGGAAAGATTAACTCAACGTAATAATTCAGCATAATAACATGGATTTTGCAATATGTTAAGAATAAGGATATCAAAAGGGGCCGCGGTCGAAGTGGTATGCCTTTTTGACTTCAACTGGAACGTTGTAAGTTCGAACCCCATTGATGCCAGATTTCGAACCCTAAAGATTCTTTTAATAAACCATATCACAATATGTGGTAGATATACTTCTCCTATTTTATGTGGTTTATGTTTACGACATATTATCCTACCAATAGAAAACTGTTGGATACAACATATAACACAATATCTCAGTATTATCGCCTAATAATTTTGATATTCTTCTGGCATTTTGTGGATAATGTCGACCGACATATTACCCTACCAATAGAAAACTGTTGAATACAACATATAGCACAATATCTCAGTGTTGTCGCCTGATAATTTTGATATTCTTCTGGCATTTTGTGGGTAATGTCGACTGACATATTATCCTACCTCTTTTGTTTCTTTCCAAAATTTCAAACCAAAATCTTCTTAATATTATCCAAAATCTATCACATCAACATCATTATCTTATCCCCTTTTCGGCTATAAAACAACAATCTTCCTCCTTTTCATTTCATTCTACTCAAACCGAAAAATTCATACATCATCTCTCAATTCCATCATTCTTCTTCCCTTCTTTGGAACACTTCTCGTCATAAGTCGCTTCGGGGATCTTATTAAGTTCGAGGGAAGAAATGGGTGAAGAAATGTCTCCCAAAGAGATCATGGATGGCCCAACCCGTCATGCCAAGCAATCAATTTACAACAAACATATACTTCAGGTTTATGGTTTGTTTCGTTACCTTTTGCTTCAGGAGGAAAGATTAACTCAGCGTAATAATTCAGCATAATAACATGTATTTTGCAATATGTTAAGAATAAGGATATCAAAAGGGGTCGTGGTCGAAGTGGTATGCCTCTTTGACTTCAACTGGTACGTTGTAGGTTCGAACCCCATTAATGCCAGATTTCGAACCCTAAAGATTCTTTTAATAAATCGTATCACAATATGTGGTAGATATACTTCTGCCATTTTATGTGGTTTATGTTTCCGACATATTATCCTACCAATAGAAAACTGTTGGATACAACATATAACACAATATCTTAGTATTATCGCCTAATAATTTTGATATGCTTCTGGCATTTTGTGGATAATGTCGACCAACATATTACCCTACCAATAAAAAACTGTTGGATACAACATATAACACAATATCTCAGTATTGTCGCCTGATAATTTTGATATGCTTCTGGCATCTTGTGAGTAATGTCGACCGACATATTACCCTACCTCTTTTAATTCTTTCCAAAATTTCAAACCAAAATCTTCTCACACTACAAAAAAAGGCAGTCATTATCGACGATACGAATTTCATCATAATTGATAAAATTTCGTCAGAAAATATCTTTTACGACGACATTTGGTCGTCAGAAATTGTCCCGTCGCTAATAAAATATTATTGACAAGTCGTCAAAATTACAATATTATTGATGACATAAATACGTTAGTAATAAAATAAATGACGTCACAAATGAAATCACTCATGACGGATGAATTTGCCTAATTTTTTTTACGACAACTTCATTTATTTTTGACACATTATGTTTGTAGGTAAATCATTTTTTCTTACTAGTCGTCATAAATACTATTTATACTAACGTTCATAATTCATCAAAAATAACTATTTGCGACCTGAATTAGAGGCCGAACTTATTTTTTATACGTTGTACATAAATTTATGAGGATGTGTGTTCGTAACTAATATATTATTATCGACATATAGTAAAAAATATAAATTTTACAGACAAATTGCCGTTAAAATTATGTTTTTCCCGACGTGTCGTCTGAAATATTATTATTCCCGAGGACAACTATTCATCGAAAATAAAATCTTTTCCAACGTATCGCTTGGATAAATTTTTATTTACGATGGCAACTATTCATAATAAAAAGAATCTTTTCCAACGTATCGTTGGATAAATTTTTATATACGATGAAACCTATTCATCATTAAAAACATCTTTTACCACTTGTCGTTGGTTATATTTATATTACTGAGGACATATGTTTATCGTCGGAAATTGTTTTTCCAACGTGTCATAGGAAAAAATATATTTACTGAGGACAACTAATTATTACCAAAAATTAACTTTTCCAACACATCGTCGGAGAAACTACATTTATTAATGACGCTTAATTATTGTCAATAGTGCAATTACATCTATTAACGACGACGACATTTGTTGCAAATTGCTTGATCAAATTTTATTTGGACGCCATTACACTTCTAGTGATGACAACACAAACAAATCATCCAAACAAAGTTATGCATATTCCAAAATTAACTTACAAACTATCTAACAAGTAGCCATTAGCCATCAGCTACGACCAAACATCCAAAATTCAAAAGAAATCATCCAAACTTCAAAAGGCAAAATATCCTCCGAAAATGACACAAAATATCTCAAAGTCAAGCGATACTTAGAATCCTACGATAGCATTAAAAGAAATTCATGCAGCAACAGTATCGTTGGCAGTCTCCTCATCGGACTCGTCGGACTCGTCGCCGACCACATCGTTACCCTGAGTTTTCCCAACTCGACCATGTTCCCCATTTGCTTCACTGTTGAGATCCTAAATAGAATATAACAAATAAATTAGCCATAGCTTTGAAAATTATGTAATGAATAAAAACTAAAACATGACAGCAAAATACTTACCATGTCAAATGACTCGGGCAGCCGCACTCCAAGTCTCTGCAAGACAGATTCAACAATGCGAGGGACTGCATTCCTCACATCTACGATATCATCCTCCAACTTCTTCATTTTCTCATCATTTTCCCCCTTTCTTTGGTTCGATCCTCTTGACTCGATGCGGGACCGAAGACATCAACCGAGCTCACCCCATGGCCCATCCCTATAACACGCTTTGGGCGTTGTGGTCCGATCACTTCTTGATAGATGACAAATCTGTTTGGTTCTTCCCCTTGGGATACCTTTTCAGCCTCTGCTTCTATCTTTCCATCCTAATCATGGAGTAAACAACATCAATATCAATAAAAAAAGACAACAAAAACGAGTACAAACAGCAGCCTAATACTCTGTAAACATTATTGAACTTACATGCAGGGGTTTTGCTTTTGACGAAACCCAGTTCTTGTCCTTCTTCACATGGAAACGTCTAAACATCTCGATCAGATCAGGTTCTTTTCCAGTTTGTTTTATCTACCAATCAATTAAAAACAAAACATTGCATTCACATGTAAACTGAGTACACTTGAAGCCTAAGATAAACATTAGCCATAATGCAGCAACTTACCTCTTCATGTCTGTACTTGGCCAACGGTGCTGAACCGCCAGTGGCTGCAAGCTCACTCTTCTCCCGATTCCCTTTATTCTTATCACTCATTTCCTTCAATTCGAAACAACAAACAATCAGCTCACCATTGAAAACAGATTAGGATGAAAGAAAAACACCAAAGCATACACCAACTTAACTTACCACCCAATTCGGGTTAGTCCATTTCTGAACCATCTCCCTCCAAATTGATGGACTTATTTGCGGTGGTGGATGGTTCATTCTCTCATTCAAATCCTTATACTTCGTGAAAATCATGTCTCGGAGACAATACATTCACTGGGGATAGTTTTTCTTCACGTGTTGTCTGACCATATCGTTGAAAGTCTCTTCTGACCCAGTGTAAGTGAATCCTGAGTCCTTGCAACGAGCTATCAAAGTCTCCAGCTCTGATGCAGGATACTTTGAGAACGTAATCCAAGGCCCATTTATGCTCCTTTTGAAGATAGCTGAAATTTCACGGGCTGCTTGAGTGGTAATTATCCTGCACAGTTTATAGAGAAGTATTAAACTAAGAAAACTGAGTACAGTCTGTACAGGGACAGGTTATCGTGAAAGATTTGACACAGGTTGTGCAAAAAACTTTATCGCTCCAAGGAACATTTAAACAGACCTGTTATCGTGAAATTCCAGGGACAGGTTGTGTCCAGGCTTGACACCCTTTCCTGGTCCTCTTCCTTTTCTTTTTTTGGTAATCCCTATCACAAGGTCACAACTTATAGTCAGATACAATGCAAAGACAAAAGGAAGCCAATCGAAAGAAAAAAACCACACAATGAAACAAACCATTCGAACTTCCACCCTCTAGCGACAGGTCCGCAGCTGAATGTTGAGCAGACGAATCAACCTGCTCTGTTTCTCCTTCCAATCCAGTAACAGGGGACCTTTGCTCCGTTCTTGGAGTTTCAGTAACAGGAACATGCGGATTGGTGTTCCTGCCACCTTGTCCTTCTTCCTGAATCTCTGAAACAAGAGGCGAAGAGGGAGAGTTACTCTGCACAGGTGAATGAGGTGCAGATTCCTCCCTCTAGCTTTGAGAACGGAGGCGTTTCTTTTGCTTTGCCTTCTAGTGAGAAGCAGAAGGTGTTAGAGGGAGGAGAGGAATGGCAGAGAAGAGGTAATGGAAGAGGACGAAGAAAAGGCCTTTGGGTTCCTTTATTTGGCTCTGCCTACTGAAGCGTGTTTATGTATACTAGGGATTATTAATGAAGCGTGTTTGTGTGTAGTTATTGTGTTGTGGTAGGAAACTGGCGAAAAAATCCTGCCTTTTTTTTAGGCTAACGAAGAGGCTTAAGGAAGGTTTATGGTTCTTTACCTTTTCTGAGCAAATCTCGTTCCAAAGATCCCTCTCTGCCGTTTTACTCATTTAACGCGTTAATTAGTTTTTTGCAATTAAGGTTTAATTCATGAAGGCCAAAGTTAAACGAACTATATTAACTCAGGAAGAATAATTGACAAAGTAGGGGGGATTGAATAGAACTAATTACATGAATGAAACAATGAACCAAATTGCAAAGAAAACGAACCAAAACAGACCCCATGGATCATGATTCGACAAGCAAGCACCTCAACTTAGCTTAAAAAGTGTCCACAAGAATTGCACCATGGATGAACAACCCACATTCATGTACCAAATCAAAGTAAAAGCCACTGAGCTAACTCAGAACAGACAGCATTTTGCAAAGAACGAACTAATTAACTGGAATTCCGATTCAGTCCCAATCTCAGAGAGTTATAAGATGCTTTCTGGGTGCATGCATGTTCGATTTACACCTGCAATTTAAGAAATCAAACCGCAGCATTCAAATCCACATCTTTGCATATAAATTTATTTGCTTCTACACATCCAATCAAAAGAAAAAGCAAACAAACCTATATTCTGTCAACTAAAAAAGGTGAAGGAACCCAGATTCCGACAAATAAAGATCGCCTATCTGCCCTCCTTCATCTCTCTCGATTCACAATCTGCCGCGAAACCCAGACCCACCAGAGGATTGGGCTCCCGCTGCATTGCCTTGTCCACGCTACTCAGTCCGTCGGCCGATCGGAGCAATCGACGGCGGCCCTGACGTCGTCCTCGCGCACCCAGTTCATCAACCGCCGCAACAATTGGAAATATCGTCGTCTCCTCCGCGCCTCCAATCTTCCATCATCGACAGACTTGAAATCGCCTAAATCTTTTGGGTAAGCGAGCAAAAATGAAATCGAGTATGGGTGGGGTTAAACAGAGTGCATGCGAGGAGGGGAGAGGGGGAGATGGAGTGTTTTGTTCTCCATTTTGTTGAGAATAAATTATATTATTAATTGATTAGCTGAATTTAAAAATAAATATAAAAGTGTTTTATTGAAGCGAAGAGGGGCATAAGATTATGTAGGTTTTAATTTTATCTTTCATTTAAGCAAGTGGAAATAATTAAAATATATTGTACATTTTTTGTAGGTTATGGAAGGTGTTGATAAATCGTGGATGCAGCTTCGTAATAGATCAACTATGGAGTATATGAATGGCGTTCAAAATTTTATCGCATTCAACAATGTTCAAGACGAAGAAAACAAAATACAGTGTCCTTGCGTGGACTGTCAGAATGTTATAAGAAGGGAGAAACGAGAAGTTGAGCTACATCTATTACGACGAGGAATGTCACGTGATTACACTAAATGGATTTACCATGGTGAGAAATCAGACGATGATTATTCCGAAGAGGAGGATGCAGAGGATGCTGTAGACGATGGTAATGAGATGGATGTAGATGACATACAGGGGTTACTGAATGATTTGAGACCGCATTTGGATCCTGACCCCGAGAATCCCAATGCAGAGGCAGAGCAGTTTTTCAAACTGGTCAGAGAATCTCATATGCCATTGTATGAAGGTTGTGATGAAAAGCTATCCAGTCTGTCATGCCTGGTGAAGATGATGCATTTGAAGTGGTTCAATTCTTGGAATAATACCTCTTTTACTCAATTATTGAAGTTTCTTCAATCTACTTTCCCTATGGCACAGTCTACAATGCCGAAGAATTACTATCAAGCAAAAAAGATGTTGAGTGGCCTTGGGCTAAATTATGAAGAAATAGATGCTTGTGAAAATGACTGTCATTTACTACGGGGAGCTCAAAGGAGCAATGACATGCCCTTCCTTCCAGAAAACAAGGTACAAGAAAATCAGGAAGGATAGTAGGGGAAGAGTGACAAAGGTGCCCTACAAGATACTAAGATATTTTCCCATAAAGCCAAGATTACAACGCTTATTCATGTCGTGAAAACCTGCGGAGGATACGGTGTGGCATGCGAACAACATGTTAGAGATGACAAATTAAGGCACCCTGCTGACAGTGAAGCTTGGAGAGTTTTGGACTAGTATGATTCATCTTTTGGTTCTGACCCTCGCAACGTCCAATTGGGATTAGCAATGGATGGCTTCAATCCATTTGGCAACATAAATAACAAGCATAGTACATGGTTGGTAATTCTGTTCCCGTATAATCTACCACCGTGGTTATGCATGAAGAGTCCATATCTATTATTGACATTACTCATTCCTGGTCCGAAAAGCCCAGGAAACAATATTGATGTCTACCTGCGACCACTCATTGATGATCTGAAGTCATTGTGGAATGAGGGAATAATGACTTATGATGCATTCAAGCAAGTGAATTTCAACATGAAAGTTGCATTGTTGTGGACTATCAACGATTTTCCTGCATATGGTCTCCTTTCTGGTTGGAATACAAAAGGCAAATTGGCAAGCCCTTCCTGCGCAGGCAACACCTCACATTTGAGGTTGAATAAAGGATGCAAGGAATGTTACATGGATCATCACCGTTTTTTGCCATTGGATCATAAATGGCGCAAGCAAAAGAAGGAATTTAACGGCACTGTAGAAAAAAGACGTGTACCAAAGCGATAATCATCCGAAGAGGTAAAAAATCAACTTCTCTCATTGCAAACTATACCTTTCGGCAGTAAGGGAAAAGGCAAAAAATCAATGGGTTTGGAAAAACTCATAACTGGAAAAAGAAATCTATTTTCTTTGAATTGCCATATTGGTCATCGCTCTTAGTACACCACAATTTGGATTTCATGCATATAGAGAAAAATGTATGTGATAGTATTCTTGGTACTATTATGAATATTGAGGGCAAAACAAAGGATGGTCTAAGTGCACGTCGTGATTTGGAGGAGATGGGTATAAGGAAAGATCTTCATCCTATTGAGAGGAATGGGAAAACAGAGTTACCTAGAGCTGCATATAGCTTGACGGCGGCAGAGAAGAAATCCTTGTGTCAGTGGCACGTTGTGTCAATGTTGATGATCGAAAGATACATGGGATGAAAACTCATGATTGTCATGTGTTCTTGGAGAGGTTATTACCGTTAGCCGCCCGTGACTTATTTCCGAAGGTCATATCGGACACACTGATTGAGCTTAGAAAATTTTTCAAGGACATATGTTCCAAGGAGCTAAACGTGGAAGATTTGAATTACTTGGAGTCTCAAATTGACATAATCTAATGTAATTTGGAACGTATTTTCCTCCTGCCTTATTCGATATAATGATCCACCTGCCCATCCATCTGCCTTGGGAGGCCAAAGTTGCTGGTCCAGTTCAGTATCGATGGATGTATCCTATTGAAAGGTATGATATATATATGCTAAAATGATTATATATAGTGATATTTTGCAAACTTTGTGTAGTTAATTTGACATTTTTTTTTAACAATTTAGGTATTTGAAGAAGTTAAAAGGTTACGTTCGTAACAAGGCACGTCCAGCGGTATCAATCGCCGAAGCTTATATTGTTGATGAATGTGTTACATTTTGCTCGCAATATTTGACCGGAATGGATACTATATTTAATCGGCCAGCGAGAAATGTAAATAAATCTGCATCGTCGTCACAACCATCTCGTGACCTATCAGTTGTTCCGGGTGTCGATCGTGTCATTGGTGTGAAGGACGACATGAGAGACTTCAATACTGATTTGTGGAAGACGGCAGCTTCTTATGTCCTACAAAACTGTGATGAGGTGCAAGATTTTATAAGGTACATATACATATATACCAATACTTATTTATTTATTGTATGCTAGAATATAATTTATTTTAATTATATTAATTACAGAACTCACAAGGAACAACTAAGCAATCGAGGTGTTCGTATGGTTGAAGTAGTGCATAAGCAAGAATTTGCTAAGTGGTTCTTATTAGAGGTACATACATGTCATATATAATAAAGAATTTTGATATCTAAAAATTATCGCTGGCTAATTTTAAGTTTGTCCTTGCAATTATTTGCAGATTACACGAATGCACAATGATAAAGTGCCAAGTTTGAATCCTTGTTTGTTATCCTTAGCTCGAGAGCCAAACAAATGAGTCCTGCACTACTCAGGATATTGTATCAATGGATTCAGATTTCACACTCGTACTCGCGAGTTAACCAAAAGCAGTCAAAACAGTGGTGTGATGGTGAGAGGGGGGAACGATGGTGGAATTCATTACTATGGCCTTCTCACCGATATCATCGAGCTTCCTTATACAGAAGGGCTTCGTGTTGTATTATTTCAGTGAGTGGTATGACACCGCTAGCGAAGGCGTTGGTTAGAGGAAAGATGGACATGGCACTATTACCATCAACATAACGCGAAGGCTTAGAACAGATGAGCCATTTGTTCTGGCTAGTCAAGCAATTCAAGTTTATTATGTGCAATCTTTAAGAGAACCAAATTGGAAAATTGTGGTTGAAACGCGACCAAGAAATTTGATCGCGATGCCATCTAATACGGAGAAGGAGAAGGAGCATTAGACGAAACCTATCAAGAAGACAATATTTTAATTGATGATCCTAGGGTACTCCAAACCGAGGGAGATGATCTCTTAAACTGGACTAGAGCAGGGTTCGAAGATTAAGTATGACTAATTTGGTCTTTGTAGATCGAAATATATATTATATAATTTCTATTATATTTTTCATAGAAAAGTGCTTACTATGTGTTTTTTTATTGATTCAA